AGTCTCGGTGTCATGTTTAGGCAATCAGTGGTTCAGAAAGGAGTGACCAAGAGAGAAATGATCAAGGAAAACTATATTGCTGAATAACAGCAGATGGGAAACTTCTAAGCTAAAACAAGGTGTATATTTTTGAAAGGATTGTAAAGATACGACCCATCCACAACAGACAGCTTTACTGTGTGTCCTTCTTGGTAAGGTCCCTGTCACCACCACCAAATTGCATTTTACAATATATTCATCTCCCTCATTCCATCTCATTGACTTATGTCATGTAGGCACCTATATCTGAGCCAGTCACATACATTCTTTCTTCTGCCTTTGCAGGGCAATTCATGACCAGCCTCAGGTGCCTACTGAAAGATGTGATTAATTACATGCTGGAGGTGCCTATTTCTTTCTGTTGACTCCGAGAGGATGGCTAGAACGACTAATTCAGTAGAGGATTCCCACATGTCTTACCCCTAAAAATATCTTTTCAGGGAGAGACTAGAGGTACATGATATAATGCAATCAACTGCAAAATAAAATAAATACAATGTGGACTGCTAATATTTCAAAAAGGATGAGAAATTGCACCATCTCCTTATTGCAAGCATTCTTCCCTAAAATCTCAGGTGGTTAATGGGAAACAAAATAACAAAATAACCTAATCTGGGACTACAGAACTAGCTTTGTACATGGTTCCAGCCAAAGATAGCCATAGACAGTTGATGAATTTTATGGAAATTTCTTTCTGTATTTTCACATTTGTTCAAGAAGAAGGGAAACAAAGGGGGAAAGGAAATCAGGAAAAGAAGAGAAGAAAAGAAATTTAAAAAGAAAAGAAAGAATCCAGAGAACCCGGAGAACTTACCTCCTCTGTGTTTGGAGATCTAATTTTTTGTGTAAGGGCTGTATGATTTTATCTCCTCAACACCTGCCTTCCCTGGTAGGAATGTGTTAGAGCACACAGGCTTTAAAGAACACAGAACAGCTTCTGGAAAGCTTCTAACACTTGCTTAGGAAGTGCCTTTTACTGTATAATCCCATCTGATTTAATTTCTTGCTTTCTTGTATCACAAGTGTATCTTGGTATTTTCTGCCTATGTGAGAACTGCTTTGATGGGCTGTCTGGATCGTGTGATGCATTCAGAGCCCAGCAGCAGAAAGAAGGCTGAGAAGAAAACTGTTTAAGTAGCACTCTTTAACCCTCTCCAAGGAAATCTCCCACCTCAAGGGCTCTTGGGGCTGGAGGAGCGAGGCGTGGAGGCTTAATGAAGGGAAGGCATGAAAGGAAGGGCAAAGGAGGAGGAATTAATTCTGTCCTGACTGAAAAGTTTAGGCAAACATAAATTAAAGAAATAGCTGTCAGTCAGTGATAATGGTATTATGAAGGCATTTCAGGATTCCTCCAGTAGAAATAACAGCCAGTGGATTAGCAGAACATTAAACTGGACAAGCATGTGATGTGACCTAGTCCGGTTAACCCTTTCCAGAGTCCTTCCTTAAGCCACGCATTATGGTTTTCCCAAGTGTAGAGGCCCATGAGATCCACTGCTATGGCTTTATAGCATTGTGTGTAATAAAACAGTACTTCACATCTTTGGGTATTCCAAAAAGAAAACACATAAAACACAAATCTTCCTTAAAAAAAAATCAGAGAGAGTTCTAGTAATAAGGACAGAGGTGCCATACTCTGGGGGTGGTAAAGAGTTACCTCTCACAGTAGTATTTTAAAGGGCAAGTTAGGCACACTTCTCTCAGTAGTGGTTCTGATTAAGTTAAGTTTTCACAGAGACAGAAGATGGCCTGGGTTACCTCTTGATGACTCTTCAAGTCCTATTTTGCATAAAATGTCATCAGCGGCAACCCAGTGAATAAAGCCTTTTGCAAGAACTTGCACATTTTAGCAAAGGTCAGCTAATTACAAAGGAAAAAGAAATCCTTCTTTTGCAAATGGGGAAACCAAGGGAGGAAGTCAGCTATTTTATGCCTGTGGAAGTCAGCTGAGTTCAGTCTTTGTCACTCCAGGCTTTCCTATGGAAAGAAATAAATCTCTTCAGAAATGGATTCACCTGATCTCCCTCAGACCTGATTTTAGGATGAGATTAGCTCTGAAATAGACATCTAGATTTTGAACAAAATTACTTAGGGCAGACAAAGGCCATGTCCAAAGAGTTACAGTCAATGGCTCAATGTCCAAGTAGAAACCAGCAACAAGTGGTGTCCTTCAGGGGTCTGTACTGGGACCAATACTATTTAGTATCTTCATCATTGATATAGGGCAGTGGGATCAAATGCACCCTCTGTAAGTCTGCTGATGACACCAAGCTGAGTGGTGCGGTTGATACGCTTGAGGGAAGGGATGCCACCCAGAGGGACCTTGACAGGCTTGAGGAGTGGGCCCATGAGAAAGAACCTCATGAAGTTCAACAAGGCCAAGCGCAAGGTCATGCACATGGGTTGAGGCAATCCCCACTATCAGTACAAACTGAGGATGAAGGGATTGAGAGCAGCCCTGCAGACAAGAATTTGGGGATACTGGTGGATGAAAATTTGAACGTGAGCCAGCAATGTGCGCTTGCAGCCCAGAAAGTCAATCATATCCCGGGCTCCATAAAAAGAAGTGTGACCAGCAGGTTGAGGGAGGTGATTCTCCCCCTCTACTCCGCTCCGGTGAGACCCCACATGGAGTACTGCATCCAGCTCTGGGGTCCTCGGTACAAGACAGACAGGGACCTGTTAGAGTGGGTCCAGAGGAGGGCCATGAAAACAATCTGAGGGCTGGAACACTTCTCCTGTGAAGAAAGGCTGAGAGAGTTCAGTCTGAAGAAGAGAAGGCTCCTCAAGACCTTCTTGTGGCCTTTCAATATATAAAGGGGGCTCATAAGAAAGACAGAGAAAGGCTTTTCAACAAGGCCTGTAGTGACAGGACAAGGGGCAATGGTTTTAAGCTGAAGAGTAGATTTAGATTGGACACAAGGAAGAAATTTTTTATGATGAGGGTGGTGAGACACTGGAAAATGTTGCCCAGAGAAGTTATGGATGTCCCATCACTGGAAGTTGTCCTGGTTAAACCATGACAGAAGAGTTCAAGGTCAGGTTGGATGGGGCTTTGAGCAACGTGATCTAGTGGAATGTGCCCCTGCCCATGGCAAGGGGGGTTGGACTACATGAGGTCCCCTCCTACCCAAACCATTCTATGATTCTATACAATCTTTCTGTCAAGAAAAGCCTCATCCTTCTTAAGACTTCCACAGCCAGAGGTGAGTCTATGAAACAAAACACAATAAAGCAAACAGATATGCCAGTTCATGCATCAGTTCAACTCAAACTCATCCCTCCTCTGAAGTCTACTGTGTATTTTTAGGCTTCTGACTTACAGGTGTCAATAAATAGTTTCATCTGCTGCCCGCTACTTTGTTTTGTTGACATTTCTTGAAATTTAGAATGGCCCGATAACAACCAAGGTAATGTAACCATCTCCCAACACAGAATGCCAGTGATCCATGCAGTGAAAATGGAAATCCCCAAATTAATGAGGAGGTTAAATACTGCTCTGGTTGAAAATAGACCTCTAACTTAAATATCATCTTACACTGCAGCCTGGAGTCCTGGCCAGATTAATAAGGGTTAACAGTAGTCACTATAGGAAACAGAGTATTGGGTAAGGAAGTAAAAACAGTCGTACAATCATTGGGAAAGGAAGAGGAACAACAAATGACAGAAGAAGCTAAGGATGAGCCATCGGCTATCTGGCCTGCTAAGATAATTTGGGCCAGATCTGCCAGTTTCTGTACCCACTGACACTCATGGCAGCAATTTGGCTAGTGTTATATTCATCTCTTTTTGTTTCCCTAGCCAAATGGACTAGCAGAAGTGACTTAATGCACAAGCCCAAATCAAGAGTTGCTGGTATCTCCTGTTGCAAAATAGTTCTCTATAAGGATGTGCTTACTGCCAGGAAAGGAGAAAGGTGTTTCCTCCACTTACATTGGCATGTGGATCTGGACATCCTGGTGGTAGCTCATGCACATGGAGGGACTGTGCATGGTGAGATGAGTGAGATGTTGTGGGTGGGTAGTGAATGCTGACAGGGGGCTGTCTTGATAGAGAAACGAGGTGGTGAAAAGGTGTGAATTTGGTGGTGGGCGAGATGGGGCTGAGGCACTCTTTGGGGAGAAGTTGTGAAACTGGAAATGGAAGGCACAAGGGTGGAGGGTGTCTTGAGGGATTTTATGAAATCGGAAATGCCTGAGGTACGGTGAAGGACTGTGCTGAAAGACAGTGTGAAGTGGCGGCTAATACTGTGGGGTGTGAAGTTGCAGTTGGAAGAGCTCGTGACTTCAGAAGCAGGCATTGTGTACTGAGGGCAGCACAAGCAGAGGTTGTGCAGTTGTAGCTGCCGAGGTATGGTAAGGCTATGGAGTTTGGGTGGACCCTCCTCCAGGAAAGGTTGTGTCAAGCAGTAGGGACTAAGTAGGCTGGTAATTTGTGTCGGGAGAGGCTGTGGGTCAGAGGACACCCTGTGGTGATGGGTGCCTTAAGGCCAGTTTGGCAGGGCCAGTAGGCCCTTGGGGAATAAGAAGTTGGGCTGAGGGAGGTTGTGAAATCATCAGCAAGCGTTATGGAAAAGGACTGACAATTTCTCAATCTACGTGATCCTGAGCAGCAGTAAGGCATCCTTGTCACAGACTGTGAAACTAGAGCCTCTCAGGGACACAGGTAGGAAATAAAGCATCAGTGCAAGAGGCAAGGTATAATTTTGTACAGATGGTTCTTGCTTTCTTTGTATTGTGAGACTGGCTGAAGAAGGGAGAAGTAGTAAAAAACCCATTTCCTGAGACAAGACAGTGACAGGTTCTGTACAAAGAGGGAAGTGATTCAAATGTAAGTGACCACACACAAGCTAGATATTTCCCCAAGAGACCGATTGGCTGGCTGTTGGATGTCACGTTGAAAAGACCGTGGCTTTTTAAACAGTGTCTAACTAGCCCAGCACTACATTATGACACAAGGATTTTATCTGGACCATATGTCACAGAATTCAGGTGACAATTTTACCCAGCAGATCCGTACCAGCCAGCTGCTGCAAATCAGTCACTGAAATTCCAAGGAACCCACAAAAAGGTAAGAAATCCTAGATGGTATCTTTGCCATTGCATTCTGTCTAATGCTTTCTGTCACGCTTTTGGAGAGACGGTGAGGGGAAGGGAGGAGAAAAAAATGGAGGAAAGGAAATCAAACATTTTCTTCTCCTGCTGGTTAGAAATTCACTCTAGGTAAGAACTGGTCTTGATCATTTTCAAGATAAGGAGAGCTTCATTCTGAGGACCCTTTTCTGTGAACAAGTGCTATTGAATTGCTCTAAATACATCTTCTGTAACATAAGATGTCATTATTCAGAAACCTAGCATTACCAGTTTTGGTCTTAGATGATCACTTAAGGTTAGCCAAGAACATACAACAGCATAAGTTTCTGTCCATAGTCTAAAACGTCTTTGTGGTGTCAAGGTTGTTCAAACTGACATCTGCCACAAGAACTATGTGGTACTCAGCAGGCAAACCATAGGACGGGTGTTTAACCTCAAGGGAGAAAAGACCACCTAGACTCAGCCTGCTTCTGTTTGATGCAAACTTTCACTAGTTTCATTAAGGAAGTAGACTCATGTCTTGAATGCGTCTTGGAGACAACAAGAAATCTGTCTGTCCAGGGTCATACAGTAAATATAGTAGAACTGTGAGTGACATTTTTGGTATTCTTTTCCACGGTCTACAGAATTCAGAGAAGGATTTCTTCACTGCCATTACAGTAGAAGGCAAAACTATTGATGTTTTGTCATTTGTCCACAGGGAGTCCATTACAGCCATATCTGTACATATCTTGTACATGATCAATGGCACAGGGACATGTCATTTAACATTAGGAAATACGCTTGATGAGTTTAAGTTAGACAGCTAACCACCTGTCATTCCCTGAATGCCCAGTGGAGAGAGATGCAATTCTGGAGGATGGGGTCAATCACCTTCTGGAGATGACTCCAGCAGGGAGGTAGAACAGCCACTTTCCTAAAACGGGCACCGGCTCAGAAGGCTGGAGTGGGCTTAGGCAGAGCTTAAGTGACACTTGAATGTTCATGTCCTCTTCAAATCAATTGGAAATTTGCTTCAGTTTACACAGATAGTTTGTGGCAGAGAGATAGTGCTGCATTGGGAATCCTAAAGGTTAAGAAACCACTTAACCAATGGGTCTTCCTTTCTCCTCACAGCAGACTTGGTTCACAGAATTAGAGGCTGCTTCAGCTACTTCCTACTGTGAATCAAGGTCTGATAGTTTGCTGCCACTGCAAAAGTAGGTAGCAAGGAAGTGAACAAAGTCATAACGCTGTAACTTTTCAATTTGCTTGCTAGAAATGTTCGGGGAAGAGGTGGCCTTGCTAGTGAAGTTGGTCAGGCAGTATGCTGCTCTCCCCAGATAAGGAAAGAGAAGGTGAGCTTGAGCTCTGAGATGTTCCTGTTGTGAAACTGGGCTACAACAGAGATTCTGTGCATTCTGAAGGAGATGATGGTTTTTTGTTTTCCATAGTCCCTTTCAGTATGTACCAAAATTCTTTCTTTAGAGACCATTAGTCTCTAAGGTCTTAATGTTAGAAGCACTCAAGGTCCCATAACAGCTGAGGACAGAATCATCCAGCTTCCTATAAAAGAGTATGATGCAGTGCCAGAAGCTCCCTGGTTTCAGTCAACCCTAAAGGTTTCACATCCTGCAAGCCCTGGTGAAGTTAAGGGTGGAATTCACCTCAGTTATCTTCAGCTGTCCACACAATAATCCTCTCGCTGAAGCTGGCACTCTGCGACGTATCTGCAAAGACAGGCAGGTGACTGCACACCTACCTAAGACACATATCTTCGGATAAAATACATTACCGTTGGAGGTGCTCATAAACCTCCATTAATTCAAATGGCAGCTTTAAAGGCAATGTTAAATGAGATGTTTGCATTTTTAATGGTGAAAGCTAGGTGTAACAGTCCCAGCTGGACTGCCAGCCAAGCACTGCTGGCGTCCATGCCTTCCACGGACTAATGCGGCAAGATTGTCTCCACCGCTCCAGGCGATCAGCTGGCCGAGGAAATCACCTGCATCATGCATTTACTTCGCCTCTGTCCATGTAGCACTGAAGAACATGTGTGTGGGGTGCTGAGATGAAACAATAATGATTCAACCTGTCACATTTCGCTTGTTTATGGAAGTCTGTCTCCATGTATGCTGCAGCATCTTACAAAGAGAGAACAGACTATTCATGCTGGTTAGACTGCTCAGTGATTCACATCTTCCTAGCTCTCCCCATTTTGACTTGTTCCACTCTTCATTTTATCTCCTGCTGTCTTTCATGACACTTCTCTACCTTGCCATGTCAAAATTAATAGCTGGTGGGGAGAGAGGAAAAGAGCCACAGTGTTTGACCTCATCAGACAAAAAAAGGGTGTGAATTCTATTTTTCAACCTCCCCCCCCCCCCCCAAGATTCTCATTCAGATCCCAGTATCATGGGGGAAGAAGCAGGGTGAACTGCCTCAGGGAATGGGGTGAAATAATTATTTGAGTCATAATTCCAATATCCTGTGAGGGTCAGACATTTTGTCCCACATACGGTTCTTAGAGTTTCTCTCTGAGAAGGAAGTTATTAAGGGCTGATTCTGTCAGACTGAATTGTTTATTGTCTGTACATAGGGCTCAAGAGAACAAACCAACCATATTAAACTACACTTTATTAAAATAGAAATCAGTCATCAACATAAAAAAAAACCAGCTATTTTGAGTACTCTCTACCATGTTTTCTGGGCATATGCATAGGACAAAACTCAATCAGCTTTCATGCTGATTAAAATTGTATGCTGATTGCCTAGAACTTTCACACAAGATTTGTCTCACATAATCCTAGCTACATGAAGCAAAGACAGTTATCCTAGAGTTGTTAACACTGGGTTCTCCTTTTATTCAGACAAGAGGTACTTTTCAGTCATGATTCATCTAAACTATAATTGCTTTTTTAAGATATTTGTTTCCCAATACTGACTGCAAAAAGGACCCTCAAGAAACGAATTTTTAAAAGGGAGAAATACAAGGCAATCGAGCGTTTCCTACATGTCATATAGAATTTGGCCTTAGATACAGTGCTTTGAACAATGCCTCAAAGATCTGTGCTCTAAAGCCAAACACAGCAGTCCCTCCCTAAACCAAGCTTTGGCTACAAAGAGCTGGAACAAATCCAGAAACACCACCAGGTCACCATGAGGGAAAGTCACACTGGACTTACCACCTCTCTCCTCTCTGCTTACAGGTCTGTCTGAAATCACTTATGAGTACTTCAGCTACGTCAATCTTCCTCCCAACTGCAACCAGCCAGGCTCATGGGACTAATCAGAGCGTGGCGGTGGAAAAGACAGAGGCATCGTACGCTGTCCTCAAGTTCATGGAGAGCTTCTGCCTCATCAGCGCCGTCTGCGGGATGGTGGGAAACGGCATAGTCCTGTGGTACCTCGGCTTTCGCATCCGGAGGAACCACTTCACTGTCTACATCGTCAACCTGGCCGCTGCCGACTTTGGCTACCTCCTCTGCATCGCCGTTGAGACGGTTCAGTACCTGATGCAGTTCAACGTGGGGGTGCAGTTCGGGCCCTTCCTCTTCCTGGATCTTTTCATGTACGGGACCGGCTTGTATCTCCCGACCGCTATCAGCATCGAGAGGGGCCTCTCCGTCCTCTGTCCC